ACCAGATGGCTCTTTTAATTAACAAATTCCCATCTCAATATCTTAAAGTTAGCTTTAACCTCACCAGATGGCTCTTTTAATTAACAAATTCCCATCTCAATATCTTAAAGTTAGCTTTAACCTCACCAGATGGCTTTCTTAATTAATTACTTATTTTACCTTTCAACAAGAAAGGAACTGAAACTTCTTACTTTTAATTCATCATCCAAGAGCAGGATCCCACGCAAAAACTCTGAGTTTACATAGCCTAAGATTGAAGTCTGGATCACCTTGTAACTTAAAACCTGCTGATCAACAGTCTGGCCAGTAATTGGATGGAATGTAAAAATGTACCCCTGACCAGTCCTCTGAAATTGAAAGCTTTGGTGTAAAAAAAGGAATGCACCAAATATAAACAAACTCTGATGTTACTATTAAAGTTATTAATATAATTTACATGTGACTTGTTAGAAAACCTGGAATGGCAGAAGACGGAAGCTATATTTATAAAGTAACCAGAATGTCAAGAACACCCTAATTTGCAATAAATAAAACAATATATATTATTCAATATATCATTAGTACAAAATCTTATTGGTAACTATATATAAATATGTGGTGTAATAACTCTTTATGCACTCAACGCTTTCTCACCCACACACGAAATGCATTTTAACCCCATCACTACGGGTTTTTCTATGATCAAGGGCCAAAGCGCATGTCATCACATTTGTAGACTTACGTTCAAAGTTTTACTGTACTACTACTACTTTATGAATCCACTTCAATAAGTTTAGTATCAAATTATAGTTTATAATTGAAATTTTAGTATCATACATTAGTTAATTTCTTAATTTGGAAGTAAATATTAAAACAAAATTCCTAAATATCAATTTTTGTGTGTCACATGGTATGTTGAATGCAGCTTTGGTTCATATTACATGTTTGTTATGTCCAAGTCCAAAGTTTCTTATGGATTAGAAACTCAAATTACCGATATCAAGAAGCTAGAATATAAGAACCTCCTATCTTTTCTATTTGCCGAGATATTATTATATTTAGTGAATCAACCAAGATGGCCCCGTTCCACCTCTTTTATTCTTGGAAATACTTGCTTATGTACACCTACTTTATCAATCAAAAGGTCACAATGTCCTCCACGTGGTTTTCTCAGTCTTTGCCTAGTGTTTATGCAGAAATCCTTTCATGGTAGAATTGAAGATAATGGAGCTTAAAATATCATATTTTTTTTAAACTGAAATACAGCTTAGTTACTAAGCCTGATAAATTATAGTGGACTTCTGTGGTATTGATATAGTAGTTTTTTTGTTTATTTCAAAATGCATATATAAAACTTAAACTATTTGTTTAATATCCTTCACGTGCGAAATTTGACAAGGCTTAGCAAATTACGGCAAGTGAGTACAAATTTTGTAACTAGAAGAGATCATTGTTTTCTATATTTCTTTATTTACTGTTATATGTTTTAAGATAAATATTTAAAATTTAAGAACTTATTTGTAAATAGTAATAATGCATACACATACATAACGTATTATAAACGAAACATTACTGTACTTTACGAAAAACTGGTCCACTAGAACAAAGCCAAGACAGATCACACTGTAAAAGCCAGTTTTACATTATTGGATACGGTAACATGAGTGCACGTGCACCGCATCATTGTAACTTCAGTATTGTTAGTTAGACACGGCTAAACCATCAATAAAATAAAAATGATAAATACATATATTTGTATAATGTTATGAGATTTAAGCTATTCAGACTAACATTTATGTTTTTGTGTTATAATTTGTAGTCATCCTAGAATGAAAAAAAAAAGAGTAATTTATATTTATTTCCTAAATTTTTTATGGTGGTTACAAGGCCGGTCAAATTGACCAAGTCCATAGTGAAAATAACAGATAAAATAGTTTTTCTAAAAAAAATAAAAAAAAACTGATAATTATCTGGAGGTTATTAATAGGTTATAAATATTTTGCATGTGAAATTTTAAAATTTTTTGATGCATAAAAGTATTTTTGATCTTAAAATCAAAATTACTTGCATGTTGGATAGTCAACGTTTGAAAAGAAAAAAAAATGTACGAGCAAATTATTATTTAAAAAATCTTAAAACTTAATAAAAAAATCTAATATTTTATTCATGAAAGTCTTATAATATTTATTGATAATGTGAAAAATTTCGTGAATATACACATACTGTATTATTAAAATTTATAGTGTGAAAGCTATAATAAGCCCAAAATGGTTACGAGCCCATAGTGAGAGAGTTAATGTATATTTTTATATTCAGTAGTTGTTTCAATTTTTTTTTTTTTCATAATTTATCCATTATTTCTTCAAATGTAAGGTATGATAAGAATGTGGAATTTTTATGTTCCCTGGTATGTACAAAACAAGTTTTACAAACAAAAAAGATATTTTCATTAAAATCTGGCCATAAAGATTACACAATGTAGATGTTTTTGTTAGAATTATACTGAATATTTAATCTCGAGAGGTCATGGAATAAACACAAAAATTACACTTCTGAAAAAAAAAAAGTTGTTTTGAAATGATTGTTAACTTAAAAGATCAGGTGGTATTTAGTTACTGTTTTTTGGCTTACGATCAGCTTTGTGACTATGGAAACATATATATACATGTGTATGTCTGTTTTTACCATCAATAAGACCAAGACGATCATCTACCGAAGCGCTGATACATGCAAATAAATACAAACGACAAAAGTATGGAGAGCCAGTTAGGGCTACTCTAGGATTCCAACACATACCTTGTGTTTTCCAAGCACTGTACACTGTGGAAAAAAGGGGATGTGTGCTGTAGTACGAGAAACAAAGAGTGGGAGAGCACTCTGCCCCTCTTCATTGAATGGAACCAAGTCAGGTACAAATGTCTGCCATATGATGGTTCCAGTAAGGCTGTCAATTCCAAAAACCTGAAGGAAAAAAAATTTCCAAGAAGAGGTTCAAAATGTTTCCTATATATTAAGAAAAACAACTTCTCTATGAAATAAACATGACTCACAAACTTCTCTATGAAATAAACATGACTCACAAACTTCTCTATGAAATAAACATGACTCACAAACTTCTCTATGAAATAAACATGACTCACAAACAACTTCTCTATGAAATAAACATGACTCACAAACAACTTCTCTATGAAATAAACATGACTCACAAACAACTTCTCTATGAAATAAAC